CAATTTCCGAAGATATCCTTCATGCGCTAGTTGGTCTAGCGCTTTTCCGGAAGGATCCGCTTTTTGCCCTTTCACTCCTTGTCGGCTTCTATTCCATGTTGAGGACTGGCGAAATTTTGGGTATAATGAAATCCCATGTTTCTCCGGGAGTTGGATTTACTCCCGCAGTCATTTCACTTGGTCTTACCAAGGCTGGTAAGCGGCAGGAAGCGTCACCGTGTCAGTCGCGGATGTCGTTCGTCGACTCTCACAGTGGAAGGAGTCTTCGGTGACTCCCGTCAACTTGCGTCCCGCGCCCCATAAGTGGCGTCAGAAGTTCGCGCAATATCTCAAGGATCTGCACTTGGACGCTTTTGAATTTCGTCCATACAGTTTAAGGCGCGGTGGGGCAACCTTTTGGCTTCGTAAACATGGGTCTTTGGATAAGATTCTTGTCCAGGGACGTTGGCAGGCGCAGAAGACCGCCCGTATTTACCTCAATGAGGGGTTAGCCATTCAGGCTGAAATGAAAACACCCAACCGTCCGGATGTGGGGGTGTTCGAAAACCAGTATCTGGCCGCGGGTCAAAGCATCGTTGCCGAAATTTGAGCATGCCAAAGGCAGGACTGGGGGACGTGGAAAGGAGGTCAACAGTGAGGTCGAGGGGTAATCCGACCCTTTTCAAAACCGCCCTGAGGGAAGACGGCGGTTGGAGTTTTAAGGAGTCGAGGGGTAATCCGACTCGAAAGACTCAACCCCCTTTTAGTTTCTGGGCTTGGCCAGACAAAGTGGGGTGGTCTTTAATCAAGGCTGGGGCTGGGGCTTACCTGGGCTTGGCCAGGAAGACCCCGGGGTCTTGAACAACCTACTGGGAAGAGGTGTTTAGTATTTAATGCAGGTTTCAAGTTTCAATTTTTCAGACAAATCTGGTCTTGCAGCGCGGAAAAGAGCAAGCCAGAATGAATCTTTGATGTAACGCCCCGGTATGTAAAGATGAATTAGGTTTGCGTTCCGCCAGATTTCGGCTTGCGGGCCACACCCTCCCGCCCAGTGGAAGTGAGGTCGAGGGGTAATCCGACCCTTTTCAAAACCGCCCTGAGGGAAGACGGCGGTTGGAGTTTTAAGGAGTCGGGGGGTAATCCGACTCGAAACACTCAACCCCCTTTTAGTTTCTGGGCTTGGCCAGACAAAGTGGGGTGGTCTTTAATCAAGGCTGGGGCTGGGGCTTACCTGGGCTTGGCCAGGAAGACCCCGGGGTCTTGAACAACCTACTGGGAAGAGGTGTTTAGTATTTAATGCAGGTTTCAAGTTTCAATTTTTCAGACAAATCTGGTCTTGCAGCGCGGAAAAGAGCAAGCCAGAATGAATCTTTATATATATATATATATATTTTTTTTCTGTCCTACTAGAATAGATATATGCCAACACGGGACACACACGCACACACGCGCGCGCACACATAGATTCTCGCTCCGCAGATATCTTGGGGACCTGCCGGAGTCGGTGCTCTTCACCCAGAAGCAGCAGCTCGGACATGGAGTTCTCGCATGTCCCGAAGCGAAACCCGGCGGGTGAGCCGTTTTTTGGGAACACCAAGCATGTTTTGGAGGGGGCCAAGCCATTTTGTCTGGGATGTGTAGTGGTTGTAGAGGGCAAGCAGGCGTTTGGCGGTTTCCAACATTGCCTTTTGGTTGCCAACTCAAGGTTTTAGGGGGAAATATGAGGACCCCCCGGTGAGTAACACTTTTGGGGTGATGCTTCTTTCGATTCTTTACATGGTTTTGGGTGGAACCTTTTCGGGGCACTGGAGTTCCGCAGAAGGTCCTCGGAAAATTATTAGTTGGGACGCCCCGCCATCCAACTGGTTTCCTGGAGATCCCCAAAGGTGAAAATGCAAGCCCGATTTCCAGTGCAGCAGAAAAATCAACTGTCATTCACCATGAGGATGTACCTCGCAATGTGCCCATGATCTCCAACCTCTATAGTTTACGGCTCAATGAGCTGTCCGGCTCATTAGAAATCATCCCCCCAAGCGTCCGAGATCGCCATGGGTTCCAAGGGTATGGGTTTTCAGTAAATTGGGGTACCTTACATGACAGTGGCCCTCAAGCATCCCCGATTCCCAAAGGAACTGGGGATGCTTTCTGGCCCCGGCTGCGCATGAGCGAGCGCTCCATTGGTGGCAAGCTGCTCTTTGTCTATGAGCGCGCGGCAGTTGGCAGCGTGTAGGATAAAGTCTGTCTTGGAGAAGGCAGACTTTACGCAATGCTGCACCAGTCTGCTTGGTCCACAGGATCGACTCCTCTTGAGGCCGTACCTGGGCCATTCCGAGTATTCGCCACCGAAAGCATGAGTTAGCACATCTCGCAAGGCCAGTCTTGGTGCGGAACCCTTTGCCGTGAGGCTCTGTTGGCTTTCCTGTTCACAGGAAAGCCATCGGAGCTTCTGTGTTTTGAGAGCGGTGTATCAGAGCGCGAAGGATTGGGCGGCGCCTGGGATGAACCATTCATGAGTTGCAGTCCTTTTGAGTGGCTAGCCCCAGGCATGCCATTACGGAGTACAAGCGGTCGCAGCCTCAGCAAAAACAGCCTGTGAACTGAGTGCAGCTTTAAACTGGTTCCAGGGTTTGTAAGTTGTTTGTTTTCTGTGTTTGGAGTAGGCAGTCAACTCGAAATCTTGCTTCATGCTTTACCATGTACGTCACAACGTCCCAGCCATACAATTGTCAATGAAAAGATCATTGTGAGCACTCTCGCTTGGGGGTCCCCAGGTTCCTCCCGACGGGCAAAAGCGGAGGCCGGCAGACTATGCCAACGGGGGATATCGGGAGATGTGATGTAGGACTGAAGCTCGGGATGAGTCAAGGGCTTTTGGCTTACAGTAGAAAAGGCGCTGCCATTGGGAAGTGAGGGATTTCTGGCTTCGCTTTGCATGGCCATTTGGAAGCATGGCAAGGGGTTGACAAACCTGACTCTTTACCAGAGAGGGAAAGTGAGCGCAAAGGATATGTCAGGATTGAAAGCATAGATGGCAAGACTAGTTGTGAAGCAAGACCTACAGTGATCTAAAGTGTTTTTGTTTCTCTTCCACAGATAGACACGAAACTGTGCATACCAGGCAGTGTCACAAAGGAGTTGCCTTCTCAGCAAGCGCCTCTTCCTCATAAAGTCGATCGTATTGGGGTGTTTTTTGCCCCCCCCCCCTTCAAAAAAAGCACAAAAGGTGTTCCTCGTGTTTTTTTTTCTTAACCAAAGAACATGCCCTCAAAAATGACACCCGAGTAATCATTGTGTTTGTTTCAAACAGTGATCCCTCAGTTTTGTTTCGGCAGGCCCTTGTGAAAAAAAGAAGAATAAAAAGGGGGGGGGGGGGAAATAAACAATAAACAGTTAAACAAATAGCGATGGCGGGAAGCAGCAGCCTTGCCAGCTGGGAGAACACAGGTTGTTGCCAAAGCGTACTTTGCACTGTGCATGTGAACAGTTGCGCGTCTGGAGGCTGACAATATCGAACCAGAATCCCTCTAAGACAAACAAAGTTTAGACTGAAAACCGATAACTCAAAAAACATCCGAATAGCAAGTGTTGTTCAGATGTTGCTGTTTTTGTTGTTGCACGGATCAGAGTTTGTAGACAGTTGCGCAGCGTGCCAAAGTAGGGGCCCTGCTTTCGGCTTCCTTGCCCAACCCGGTTCAGAAAAAAGACTCCCCTAAAACGCTTCGGAACCCTTCTGGCTTTTGTAATGCTAAAAAGGTGGCCCATTCTGAGAAGCTATATCGCCAGGCATTTCGAAGGGACCCATCCCACGGACTTTGGCCAGGCGCAACGCCCAAGGGCGCGCCCAAGGCAAAGACGCTGGCGAAGGGCCCATCGGCGTCGCCCGGCGCCGCGTCGCCGGTATCCCCGGCATCCCCGACCGCCCCCGCGTAGTTCGGGCGCCCGCGCGGAAAGAGAGGAAAGCAAGCTCTTTGGGTATGTGTCAGAAGGAGAACGGACTGGTTGATTTTGTGTGTCTTTGAGGGTAGCCTTTTCAGGATTGAAAGGCAAGCGAAAAGGAAAGCCATCCGTGTGGCGCCAAGTCCCAGAAAACACATACCCAGTTGCCGCCTGAGATAATGCGCCGGTTGCCTACGCAACTATGGATTTCAGAAAAGCAAGCAATGACCGCAGGATTCCATCAGCTTTGTGCACGCACAGCATTGCAACGTGAAGTTGCCTGGCTGGGCATTTTGGCTCACAGGTCGTAGTCTCGCTGTCCATCCCATGCTGTTTCGCAACGCTGCAGCTTCCACAGGAGGGCGCAGCTCCCCCACCTTCCCGCAACTACCGTTTGTAGAAGGAGCGATGCGACGTCGGCGATGCTCAATTTCCTCAAACCGCTTGAGCAGCTCGGGGAAAAGCGCATGCTGATGGCCGGGCTAGAGGGCGCGGGTAAGACAACACGGTCCCAATGATTCGCGGGACAAGCAGCGGTCCTTTCCGCCACTTTCAGGGCGTCAACTGCCTGATCTGCGTGGTCGACAATGATCGAAGTAAGTTCAAGTTGAATGAGAATGGGCTGCACCACGCGAAGCGACGCGAAGCATGACCTGTCCGTTGCCTTGAAGGCAGAGGTCACAGAAAAGTTTGGACTTCACACATCTGGCCATCAGGGCTGTGTGAGGGTATAGCGACAACGCTTTTTCCAAGAGCTGAGTGTGGACTGAGGGCGCATCCTTGTATAGTGAGTACATCCCATGGGCATGGCGTTGGCTTTGTCTTCCTTTCTCCCAGATGGGTGTATTGATGGCCGAAGGCCAAGAAGCCTTGACATTCATGTTGCCGTTGCAGCTGCGATTTCAGCACCTGCGTGCCTGCCGAGCTCAGTCTCACTCAGCGCACGGGAAAAGCGCAACGTGCGTGGAGAGCGCCATAGCGTCATTTGAATTTGTATTCCACTGAAACTCAACGGGTTTGCTTGAAGGGTTTCGCGCAGTTGTTGCCAAAGACCCGAAGTCCGTCGACACCACTGCAGTGCTCCGGCGCTTTTTGGGAGGCTCAAGGAGTGGTGAGGCGGTCCCATGCAGTCGGCATGAGTGCCGGATGCTCGGAGAGCATGGCACAGGCTGACTTAAAATCCAATTGGTTGCCAAGTGCATGAAGGCAGCTAGGCTGCATGTGTTGCTGCTTCTGGTCAAGCGCCTCCTGCCCGTTTGAAACCGGGCCGAAAGCCAAGGAGTCCCAACAGGGCGTTTGAGATGAAGCTTCCAGCGGGGAGCCCAAGGCAGTTGCGCAAGATGCTTGAGCACTGCCGCAAAGCTTTGTACCTTTTCCGAGCTTTGCGCACTTCCAGTATGCTTGGATATGCTTGGTATTTTGCTGTTGGATTTGGTTACCAACGCACCTCGGTGCCAAATTGTCAACCCATGGTGACGGTGCGGTCGTATTGATGTTTGACTGGCGGAGATGCATGGATTCTCAAGAACGGACCCGTGGTTCAGGAAATCATCATCAACCCAATGTATAAGATCATGCAATGAGAGAAAGTGGTTTCTAGATGTTCGCTGCGGCAATGCTGGCCGGCACCGGAATTTATGTGTTGGTTGCTTGGTTGACCTTTGTAGTTGTCTCTCCTCCTCATGATTTTGATTCTTTATTGTCACCACTCTGTTTTGTTATTTCTTCACTGCTTGTTTTTTTTTGGATCGAGTGAGATTGCACTTGTGTCTTTCGACGTTTAGTGTGAGTCTTGCGATTGGCAAACCATGAGACTTCCTCAAGAACAGCTCTGAATCATGGATTCGAAGCAAGCAACCGATTTCGAGGTGGAAAGCCTTGGCTCCATTCGGAGAACGCTTCAAATTGTGAACCGATGTTGAAACATTGGTTTGGTTGGCCATCCGCCGATCCTAGCTTCTGAATGTTTTGTGATCAGTCTCTGAAGGGGCCTACAAACAAGGAATAAGTAACCCAGCCTCTACACACGAAACTCTGAATCAAGTCCACAGATAAATGCTCTGTAAGAATGTCCTATTTGTCGGGGTCGCCCCTTCTCGCAGGGATCTCTGCTTGGGCCATGTCCCTTGACTAAAACCCCTTTGAACACCTTTCTGAAGTCCATTTCTGTTTCCTTGCCCACCCTTTCGGCTGAGCTGGTTCCTTGCCTCGCAGGGTGGTAGGGGGATGGAGCTGGGAAGCTGGGGAGCTGGGACCCGTATCCAAACTTGCCTATGGCGCGATATTGATCGGAGTCCTGTAACTGGGCTCATGAGTTTGACTGCTTCTGGTTACAGTCAGACAATTAAATCTCTTCGTCCATTTGCTTAAGAATATGTGCTGTTTTTTCGAGGGAATCTATCACTACTTGTTTTTTTTTTTTTTCCAGGGGGGCTTTCGCAAATGGAAGTATTTCCCTTCAACCTCCTTGCGAGGAGCTGCCCAAGCGGCCCGCTGAGTGGGGCGGCGAGCTGCCGGAGGAGTCGGCATCGGCCTTGGTCGACATGGAGATCGGTCCGTTTCCCGTGAGAGCCGAAGGAACAGAAAGAGGGGTGTGAAGGGTGCCCTCAGGAGACAGTACTGAAATATGTGTGGTTTGCCCGTTTTGGGGTTGGTTTAAAGTTTATGGAGAAATCAAAAGGGGAAACGCAGCGTTTCAGGGAGCCGGATTTGCGGATAGAGAATTGGTTTGACTGCTGGCAAAACAACTCGGCTAACTGCCGAGTTGCAAACGCGACGGTACAGCTCCCCTGACCCAGTGTTGCACTGTGTGCGCAAGCGTGCTTGTTGCTTGAGGTTGGGATTTGTCAACCCATTAAGAGGCAAGTCCTAAACTCCTTTGTATGCAGCTTTGGTGCTAGTATTACAGTAAGGGGGGCAACGTCTCAAAGGGTTGCGAATGGGAATGTCGAACCAAGCCCTCAAGGCCTTCCAATTGTTTCCCCTGCATATTGCGTGGTGGACCTGTTGTTGGGTGGCCATAAAGGAAATCAAAGGAAGCTAGTATTACAGTAAGGGGGGCAACGTCTCAAAGGGTTGCGAATGGGAATGTCGAACCAAGCCCTCAAGGCCTTCCAATTGTTTCCCCTGCATATTGCGTGGTGGACCTGTTGTTGGGTGGCCATAAAGGAAATCAAAGGAAGGAACGCATTTTGGGGTTCCCCTATTTTGAGAAACGACCGTAGGGTATGTGAGTCTGTCTCAAATCGGGAACTCCTTGCTCTAGAAATCGGATCTTCATTCTCAACAGGTGGCTTGGGGCACAATGCCCTCATCCCAAGGTTCAAAGCAGTTGCCTGAAGGGGCTTCTGATTTACCCCCCCAACCAAACACAGACACACACAGACACACACACACACACACACCCACACCCACACACACACCCACACCCACCCACCCACCCACCCACCCACCCACCCACCCACCCACCCACCCACCCACCACCCGCCCGCCCGCCCGCCCCGCCCGCGCGCCGCACGCGCACGCGCACGCCCACGCCCACGCCCACGCACACGCACACACCCACACACCCACACACCCACACACCCACACACCCACACACCCACACACCCACACACCCACACACCCACACACCCACACACCCACACACCCACACACCCACACCCACACGCAAGCAAGCACGCACAAGCACAAGCACAAGCACAAGCACAAGCACAAGCACAAGCACAAGCACACACGCAAACACACGTATGGGTTGTGGGCTCCGCAGACTGGCGAAGTCGCGTCCGCAGGATCCCATCCTCTCGTCTCAGCTTCCACCACTTGCAGGCAGGGGCGCTTTTTTCTGCGAGCAATGCAGATCGTTGCGCCTCTTGCAGCTATAACAATGTCAAAATCGAGAACCCGCTCTTCACAGTGGTTGGACTTCTTCATCCCCAAATGATGTCCAAAGGGTCCCTGCCCACATGCATCCTACATTTGCTCCTTGTCTGCGCGGCGCGCCAAACACGAGCCAGCCAGAACTTGTCTTTCGTCGTTCGAGCCGATGGCTTCGAGCCGTCAGGGTGCATGTCAGTGGGGGATGGCGGGGAGGGGGGGGGGTTCCAGCCATCCGGATCTAGAGGGTTTTCAGCTGTGTACCTGGTTCAGCGGGGGTCTCCAATTTAATTTTCCACTTTAAGCAGTGGATCGGAGGACAGCCCAGATTCCTCGTTCCGGTCCTACCGCCCATTCGCTTTTTTCAGCACTCGAAACCTCGTTCTGAGGCCGAGACAAAGTCTCCAAGGCCCGACCGACGCAGGTGTGTTTGCAAGTCCCTTTCCAGGTGATTGACAAATCACCTTATGGGCCGAACAAAGATAACTCCCCCTTTGAGGTAATGCTTGCGAACCCGGATTGAGCAGCACTTATGTTCATTCTGCTTGGTCTGGGCTTATACTGCAGGGGTCTGGACGTGCTCCGGTAAGGATCAAGAATCGCGTTGCTGTATGTTTTGCAACATGGACAGTTTCAAAGTGTACACCTTGCCTCTCCCATTCATTTAACCCACCTGAGAGGACACCTTTGCTAGCCACTTGCTGCCGTTTTCTACAATCACGTGTGGCGGCCTGCCTGGTAGCTGTGTGTTCGTCGGGAAGGTCGCCTGCAGACATGGCATGTCAAAATACGGGGGCAAATTTGGTGTGCCTTGCGGTTTCCCTTTAGAACCACTCCCAAAAGGCTACCTCAAAAAACACATGTGAGAAAACCCTGAGAGACTTTCCAGCAGATCCCGTAGGACACGGGTGACATTATATGTCCCCTTCAAAAGGGGGTCCGCAAAAGGAGCTATCATTTTGTCATCACCCGGCACGCTGTCAGGCAGACTTCAGGGCACAATCAAAGATCACACTGCCACACATTGGCAGGCCTTTTCTTCGGCAGATTCGGGCAGGGTCCTTACTTGATATAAGGCGCAGTGGTGTTGTGTTGAAACCGCAGTCTCCGTGGAGAAGGTTACGGGGTGCGGGGAGGTTGTCAGCAATAGAAAGTCTGCTGGAGTTTGACACACTAAATTCGGGTTTTGTTTGTTTCAGGGTAACCTTTTCCGTTTTACAGGAACGAACAGAAAGACCCACCATTTGGGGTCCTGCTGTTGACACACTCCCAAATGAGTCGGGTTGGGGCCAACACTGTTGCAGGTTGATTTCAGGCATCCTTTTCAGGTTGGTTAGGGAAACCGAAAGGACAACCGGCCCATTTGGGGGCTCGTTTCGACACAGCCTTTCTCTGAGGAGAGCGGAGCGCCAGAGCCCCAGAACGTTGAGGCAACGAGTGCTGGATGCGGTGAGAGCCAATTGCGACACTAGATCAAGCAGAACTCCGGCTTTGCGATTCCCGCTGTGTTGGTCTGAAGAAAGTACCAACGCCTGAGGCCTGAGCATGGCAATTTATTTGTCGATCTCAGTTTAGCGTTTGCTCAAAGCAGCAAGTCAACAATCATGCATAGTTGTCATGGCAATCCTTGCGAGACAGCTTCGCGCAGCTGCAGAAACCGAGCACACAATTGGACCGGACACTGGGTCTAGTTTTGTGTGTGTGTGTGTTAAATTACGTGAAAAGAAGCAAGCCCGCGAAGCCAGCTGCTTTGCCTCAAGCGGTGAGATCTAGATCCTCCATCTTCTTGCGGCTTGCGGCTTGCAAGTTCGATCCCTCTGGACATTCCACAAGTCTCCTGACACAAACCGGAGTTGGTTTGATGTGAGCATGAGTGCGAATGGGCAATGGCTGCCGATGCCTGCGCCGAGCCAAACTTGGGCGCACTCTTGCTGCAGCAAGGCCTCCTTAGATTCTGCCTTCAGGACTTTTCGAGGGACTTTTCGCAAGTGTCTAGTTTCTTTTCGACGGGAGCGGAATTGGGCTTGTGCTTCTTGAGATTACCCTTCTTCAGGTTGGTTCAGAGGGGGAACCGAAAGGACACTATATATATTTTTCTGCTGGGAGGGGGTCCTCCTATTGTGACACATACTCAGTTCTAGGTATCACTGCAATGTGTTGGTTGCCCGGGGTGCTCGCTCCCTCGCACTTGCCTAACAGCGGCTTGGGTCAGTGCGATTGGTGTGCATTTGAGCTTGTTGGATATTTGTCGACTGTGAAGTTGAATCTTCATCGACAGCTGATCAATGTCGATCAGTTTCTGACTGGGTTTTCTGCGATGTTGACTCTCCCGGATGAGATATCTCACCTGTCCCAATTTCGCTTTGGATGCCTCTTATGCCTCCAGGAGGCGGGACATCACGGCCATTGAAGCGGACATCCTTATGGGCTGTATTTCTGGCGAAGGCAGTGCTCCCAACGCTGAAGGCGGCTGTCCCGACAAATATTTGCTTGACGCGTCGATGTCCCGAAAGTTGACGAGCCCTTCAGTTTAGCTTGGCCAATGTTTCCCCAAGTTTCCACGCCTTCCACAACAACTGATTTTCCACATGTCCAAAAGCCGTGCCCAAAAGCAGTCCTTGCAGGACTTTTTTCCGCATTGCATGTCCGCTCGCCTTTCCCTCTTGCCTCGTTGGCCCTGGCCTTATCCTGTGGCCTCCGGGCCTCAGCCGCTGTTTCCACGTTTTTACATCTCTTGCCTTAGTAATCACTCATCCGGCCCTTGCGCGCCTGGCTTCCACTGCTGCAGCCACTCCTTGTCCTTTGCCTTGAATGGTAAGCGTGGCTGCTCAAGCGCACTCAGCGCTGAAAGTTTTGCCAAACATAGAGCCTGTGTTCAACGAAAGCTTGCGCGACTGTGCGCAAGATTGCAAGTTCTTCCCTCTAAGCTTTTCAGAGTGTGCTTACAGCTCCCCCCCCCCCCCGCCCACCCCGCCCCCTAATTGCAAAAATATGTGTTGACGAATATCATAGGATGATTTGTTGATGTACAACCAGACTGCACTTGGTGAGAGGACAAGATGCTGACCCTTCTCGCAGAAAAATGCAGTTGAAAGCTAAACGCAGCTTAAACAAATGCAGTTATAAGATGGCTCCGCAACGTGCAAAAACCTTGCACTCGCAAGGGAGTAGACACAGTTGGCGACCGCTCTCGCAGAAATTGTGTTTTGTTTATAGGTATTGTATGAAACTGGCAGCGAATCAACATACGTCATGCACTCGCACCTCAGTAGCAAAATTGCGACCCCCCCCTCCCTCGCCAAAAAAGAAGCCTCCTGTACTCGCAACTTGAGCACAAAATGGGCTGCGCTCGCAAGTGAAAGTCAGGCCGCGCAAGGTTCGTAGCCGAGTTCTTCACGTGCCCCCGGAGCCATGGGAGCGGGACAGCGCTACATTTCCTCATGGCAAGGGTCATGTTTCAAATAGGAATGGTTCAGGGGGATTGTTCAAATCCGAGGAACCGGTGTCATGTTTCCTTTTTCAGGGAACTGTTCCAAAAGATCGGTTCCTCGGTTCTTGGGTTCTTGGGTTCTTGGGTTCTTTGTGCGAGTCCTCCGTCCCCAATGGACCCGTCAGGCACGCCGATCATGGCGCACCCCCCGTGGCGGGTGTCGGACCTGGGCTTCGAGGAGTTCTGGGAGAGCTGCCTCAGCGAAGGCCGGCATCATCTGAAGCTGGACTTCAAGGAGGGCGCCCAAGGCGTTTCGCATCGGTCGCCCTTCTTTTGTGTGTGTGTTTTTTGTTTCGTCGGCATTTTCGGTATGTTTTCCCTTTTTCTCTTTTCGTCGGGGTGTTCAGCGGGCACTTGTTTTGTTGGAGTGATTCGCCGTTTTCTGAGAATGGGCCGGGGTCGCCGTTGGCTTGTGGTTTTTGGTTTTCAGTGGGCACCTTTGGAGTGGTTCGCCGGACTCGATGTCCACCTTTTCGTTCGGGTTTGGGGGCTGGTTTTGTTTGGGCTTGGTTTGGATTGATTGGGGTCGTTCCAGCGGGATCTTGGAAAGAGACAGGTTTCGGATTGGTAGCTTCCGAAAATCTCTCTTCAGTTCGAGACTGGGGGCGAGGAGATGAAGTTCAAAAGGAAATGCAAAGAAGAAAGTGTTGCCTGTCGATGTCCTGACAATCCGGGGCCTCCCAACCCTTTAGCTTCCATTTGGAGTGTGTCGTGTGGAACTTCCGTTTGGTTTCTCCTTAACCGACCAAGAGGGCGTTCCCCAAAAACAACATACCAATTTGAAAGAGGGGACATGAAGGCACCGTTTTGACAAAGGATCTTGTGAGTCCCATGGCGTAAGATGACATCGGATTTGACAGGAAACACTCCCCTTACATGTGTTCATGAACTCCATGTGCACCAAAGGGTTCAAACTGTTCGGACATGAACAAGTATCCCAAGATTTGGAATTCTTGGGATATGAACAGATGTCACACCCACAAGTTTCAGTGATGTTCCTTTGGGTTTCCCCCATGAACATGTCGGCGCCCGGGTCTCCTCGCGCAACTTTTCGCGAGGACCTGCGTTCCCTGCAGCTCTGCCTGCCGAAGGTGGCGGCCTCCAAGTCTCGGCTCGCCGAGAAAGGCCAAGCGGTGTGGATCAACGCCGACATTTTGCCCGGCCCCAACCGCCGAGGCGCCGCTGGGGAAAAAAAAGAAAAAAGAAGAAGCCCAGCTGATATATCCCCAACAGGCCATGAGTTTGTTTTGTTTTGTTTTTGTGTTTGGCAAAACAATGTGTTTAATTAGCATGAATGCGGGTGATATTCCTATTAGTGGTGGAACCAAACGGAACCCTCCGGAGCTGAAAGCTGCCACCCCAGAGCTTTGTGGGCAGAAACCCCAAAGCTTCCAGCTGTTGGGGAAAAAACAACGCGTGGGCTCTTCGAACCAAAAATGGATGGGCCGTTCAGTAGCGTCCATGCAATGTGGTTTTCGTCTATTTTCCCAAAAGGAAGCCAGCAGGTGATGAGTGTTTGTTTGTTGTTGTGTTTCTGAAGCCATCCGACGCTCAAGCGGTTTTGTTTGAAGCAATCAGAAAGGGGCTTGTGAGTGGAAGGTGTGAATTGGATACAACACATACTTCTGTTGCAAGGGTGGAGCCATGGTTATTCAAATCAACTGGCAGTTGGTTGGTGTGTTTGCTTCCGATATAGGGAAGGAATCGCATTGATGTCTCCTTGATATAACCCAAGAGAACAGTGACACCTTCATTGTATGTACATAATATTGTAATGCATACACACGGTATACAAGTGTTTGATGATAGTCGCATACTGCTACTTCTAGATTACATACCATGTGTATATATTGGTTTATTAATTTTATCTGTTTTATGATATGTGATTGTATGTACATCTACATGCACATGTTCAATTGTTACATGGATATTCTATGGGCATGCGCATTATCATTGCTCCGGGCCTGTCGGCCCAGGGGAGGTTTGCCCCATCCCCGCCACGGAGTTCTTCGCGGCCCTAAAAGCCACGTGCCCGGGGGTCCCGGTCAGCCTGGGCTGGCGGACTGCGCGGGGATTCAGAGACGCCTACACCGCCCAGGACTTCCGGAGGCTGTATGGCCCCAGTCGAATGGGAGCATCTGATGTGTGTTTCCCGTTTTTTGCGGACTCGCTCAGCGCAACAAAGTGCACAACGCTTCTGTTTAGGGCGGGTCAGGCACCAAAAGCAGCAACAGCTATTGTGCGTTTGTGCTGCCGGGCGCAGTCGCTCTCGGACAAACTTGGCTTTTGCATTCACAGTCATATGAGTGTCCCCTTTCAGAGGGATTCATCAGTTCTAGAGCAGAACACCCCCTATACATAGGACGGGTGTATTGGCCCGGGGTCCACATTAGTTTGTCTGTTTTTGGGGCTGTTGTGACTTGTGACATCCCCAACACCCACATCCAGGCTGCCATCTACTTGCTACTCTGGTGTGACCTGTTTGTTTTTGTGGATATCCTTCGCTTTCCCTTTTACCTTTCACCCAGCAGATAAACATTTTGCAGGTCGGATCAGTCTGGCCAAGGAAAAGGATCCCACGTCCATATTCTGTTTGATTGGTTACCAAGTGACTTCCATTTTGGCAGGATGTTTAGAAGCAACAATTGGAACCCTGGAATTTGCTTTGCCTGCTGGGGGGATGCTTCGACGATTTGTTTTTTGGCTTAAGTGTGGGCCAGCAGCTGCCTCATGGTGTGTCTCGATTTGTGCAGCCTACGGTACCCGTTTTGGGGTTCGCTCAAGGGAAACACAGGAGGTATCTGTTTTAGGCGCCCCTATTTTGACACATACTCATGTGCAGTTGGTGTTCCTTGCTTCTCACTTGTGTTCGCTGGTTTCCGCTGGTTTCCCGGAGCTGTTCAACAAGAAATAAAGTCACTCTATGCCAACTAGTGTAATGATTACAGTCATTGCAAGACATACAGCATTATGTAGCAAAATTATGTAACAAAAAGAACCTTAGGTGAAGCAAATGGAATGTTGCTGGAGTACTTGGTTTCCGTGCTCGTATAAAAACTGAACAAGGACGGACAGCAATAGACAACCGACAAAGCAAGCACGTATGTAAGTATCGAAATAATAAATTTCAGTAAATCATGACGATTTAGTTCACCCCTTGTTGAAGTATATCGTTCGTAGATGACTTTTGTAGAGTTCTAAATGTTTTCCAAAAGTAGGGTTTGGCCTATTTGCCTACAATTGTATTAGGATATAACATGTATGTAGGTTATGGTGCTGCATTTCATTCGAATTCCTTCATTTCGGAATGATGATGGCTTCAGAAATTGCCATCGTCAAGTGCGCCCTTTTTAAGCGAGGTGCACTGGATGAAGTGCTGCAGCAACACATTTCGAAATCACAGCTGTCAAAAAGACAACAGCTTTTCGTGCTCTAGGCATAGGACAGTAGCATCAGTTGGATTATATATATATATTGTTATATCAATAACAGATATAAACGAATCCACTTTCGTTACCAATTTGTTGATTAATAGGCTTAGATGAAACAATCGAATTTGCACACGGACAATTTGAGGGTAAACTGAACTGAAACAGAACAAAGAGAGGAGAAATGGTTTTTTACATACCAAATTGATGAGGATAGCATATTTTGACACATTATAGAGCATTAACCCTTTTTGATAGATTCGTCCGTTGTGGTGGTCCGTCTGTCTACGCTCCTGTTTCGAAAACCCGTGCTGTGCAAATAGCTGACGTGGGTTCACACCTTGGGCTTGGGCGATCCAGCCATGTTCCTTTCAGTTTTAAACGGGTACTATAAAGTGAAATGGGTGTGTGTGTATGTCAAAATGGGGGGGCCATGTCATGGTGGTTTTCTTATTCCTTTCACTCCACCCCAAAAGGGTACCCGCAACAAAAACATTACACTCAAATGGCGTCACTGGGACGCATTGTAGGACATCGCCGCCATGCTGGACCTTTGCCAAGGCGACGTTTCTGGTGGGACGGTCTTCGCCATCAGAGCGCGCCTGGCGCTCCGGGATCCCGAGCCATTGCTGGCGCTGCTGCGGTTGAGACCTGGCCGTAGCCAGAAACTGTTTATCAATTAGGGAATCAGTAAGGGGGGGTTGGTTGTCCAAGGGGGGCCGGGTCCTAAGAAACCCCAAAAATCCGTTAGGAACCCCAAGAAACCCTACCCACCCCCCTTGTGATTACCTACCGCACTTATGGATTCCATAAACTAAGTTTGAGACAAACCAAACTGTTGCTTTCTTTTTGTGTTTAACTCTAAAACTTGTGCAACATGAATCATCTTATCCAGACCCACGTCAATGTGACCAAGTGAACCATTGGAGGTCTACTGTTGGCTTCTTAGGATGACAAGGGTAAGGCTCGGTCTGCGACCGAGACCAAACCCATGACGGCTGGTTACGCGATGCCGGGCTTGCAGGTACGCGAGTTGGGGCAGTCTGCCCGGATAGCTTGCCACAAGTCGGTTGCGGACGTGTGCGCCCCTCAATCGATTAAAGCGTATGGATTGTTCGAGTCATGCGTTTGTGTTGAACTTGCCGGGCAAGCATCCTGCCTAGCGCCCCATGTTTGGTCAGTTTGAGAAAGCCTGCAAATCTGCATGTCAGGGAGGGTCTGGTTGCAAAGCTTTCGAGCACGTCTCGTACAGGGTACTTCTGTATGGGCATCTTGGTTTCAAGGCAATCTTCATCGGATTTGAAGGTATGAATTCTTACGTACAACCAACAGCTTGTATGGCAGCGCATGCCCCTCACACAGGCAATATATATATATATATATGCTCACCGCCCCCCTCATGATCTACATTTGCATGCGCACGGGTCCTTGTCAGACACATTCTGCATGAAGCTTTTGGCTCTCTCCTCAGAATGGCAGCCCCTTTCGTGCGCACTTTCCCACCGAGGGTTGTCCGCCTTTTTGTTTAGTAAGCTGAAACAAAAGACGCAACGAGACAATTAAAACTATGACCAATCTAACAATGTGAGGTCTTCTGTTTTAACGGTGGCCATTCAAAGTCGGCTGCCACGGAGAGACAGCTTTGTCGCCAGAAGAACTGACACGAATGGTCAGGACTGGCTGAAAACCCCAATGGGGGGCCTCCAAAGGAGCTTTTCTTCCTGCAAAGCGGTGCTTCTCCAAAAAAAAAGGCTGCTTGTCCAAGGGGGTGAAGGTAAAAAAGACTTATTTACTAAGCAACGGTCTCATGTGCCCATGTTTGTCTGCAACTGCATCTACAACATGTCACAGCGGTCATGCAAATAAAATTATCTGCCGCAGCAACTTCAAGGATCACTTCTGCCCTTATCGCTTCCTCCGCCTTCTTTGCTCTAAGTCATGGCTTCTGAGGCCCCTCAGCGCGCTCAATCCCTTGCCCGCTCCATCTACCAGGACAACTTGGATGGCAACATGACCTTCGATTAAGCAGTGGCCACTGACAGCATGAAGCTGGTGCCCTTGAACAAGCCCATGATTGTCCGGTGCTGTGAAACTGAGTGACCTGCCGGCCAAAATGGAGATCACCGACGGCAGCGTCAACTTTGTCACCTCTCCCCATCAACTGCCTTTGTTGCTTTGCCTCAAGGAGATGCACACATAATATAACCGCTCCACACCTCCACAACCCATGCCTGAAAATGCCATTGACTGCTCGAATCGCAGTTTCACATGACTCTTGCTCGCATGACTCATGGTCTTCAGGTGACGAGCTTCAACACCTTAACTTTCGACCCCGCACAGACAGCCGGGATACCATAGAGAACTTCCACCCTTCGCCTATGATTCGGTCCCAGGAAACCGGGGAGCCAGCTGCTGTTGTGGACGGGCGCCGGTGAGGCGCCATTGCCTTCATGGCGCTTCAAGCGGTTGATGAACGCCTTCAGGACAAGTTCAGCCTAGAAACTGGTGGTAGCGGCAAACTTATTGTTTCGGACGCGAAAATGCTTTTCACTAACAAACAAGCATATTGAGGAAACATATTGAGAATATATACATATATACACATCCGTACGTGTATACATGAGTATGGAGAACACCTATGCGTAATACCTATGTTTGCTCAGGCACTGCCCTTGCCGAATGGGCATGGTTCGCTTGGTTTTGGGACCCAAGATAAAGAAACAGGGGAGGGATAGGAATATTTCGGGAGCATGTGGGAAGACTTGAGAACCAACTTGCAAATAGTTAGTTGTATGTTGCTATGTTCGTGTGTGTGTTTTTAGAACCTGTGTTTTTGCGCAAGCTGCGAAGGCTAAGATGTAGGCCGCCGAAACTCTACTTCCCACAGGGACGTCGTTCATTGCCGCCCTCGGGTTTCTGCTTGGCAACCTTGAGCGGCAAAACTAGCTTTCTTATTACTTGTGAGTATTTATATTGTAATTGAATCATACATGTTGGTGACAATAATATTATTCTTCATAGTAAGAAGAATGCTTGATAAATAACGACACACATATATATATACACACGTCACACTCTCTGCTTTTGCGCGGTGCCACCTGCTCTTCTGAGAACTGGGCGTGAATGTTGTTGGTTGTCGCGAGCAGTTTCGCAGCAGACGCTGCTAGCATTGGCCTTGCAGGCATGCAATGTTGAGAGTTGGTGTGAGCTCGCGGCAAAGTAGTCCCAGACAAACATGGCCCCTAAGAACAATCTCCTTTTGGGGGATCTTTATCGGGTTCCTTCCGTTTGCCGAGCCACTCGTCTTCAGGAGCTCCAGAGACAGCGTGGGCTACGACTGCCAGGTTGCGGAGAGTTATTTGGAGGGCGCCCTCAGGGAAGTCCAGGAGTTCTGCACCGTGGCGCTTTGTGCCTGGCTGTGAGCTGGTCAAATTCGGAACCTCCAGAGAACGAGAAGAAGCTGAGGGAAATGGGATACAGCATGAAGGAGAAGGACAAGAAGCGAAAGGAAATGGAAGACTGACAGCATAAAGGCGAAGCTGAAGGAGGCGGCAGAAGAGACGGAGAAAGTGAAGGACAAGGTGGAACAGCAGATGAAGACGCGGAAAGACGACGCGCGGGGAGTTGGAGCAGACGAAGCTGGAGAAGCTTCAGAGTGAGCACGCGGTCAACACTGAACAGCTGAAGCGGAGCAACGCTGTGCGGGAATCCTGCCGCGTGGCTCGGGTCGGCTGCGTGGGGGTGCCGCCGAAAGCTGGTGCCGCGAACGCCAGGGGACAGCCCAGACAGCCAGGGGCCGCTTTTTGGGGAAAGAACACCTGTTACATTGCTACCCTCCCGCCAACAGCCAAAATGGTATCAAGATGATCCAAACCAGGACCGATTGCCTGAACGTCAGGTTCCATCTCAATTGGTGGGAGGGTAGGCAGGCGCAGACAGCTAGCTGCAGGGTTGAGTGCGCATGTGTGTGCAGGGCGCACTCGGCCTTGCGAATGCAAAATGGCCTCATGCAAAGCTGCTTGGGTCTTCCGTGTCTCAATTACCCGAGGGCCCAATGAGAAGCTGACCGGTCGATTCCGAGCCGAGAAGTTGGAAGGATATTGCATCATCGCGCCAGAGAGATGGAGTTGAAATGGCGTCGGCTTCGCTTGAGGCTGGCTCGCGCAAGAGCCCTCAGACAGTGCCGCCCTGAGCGTAAATTGAGACATGCATGTGGTGAGTCTCGGGAAAAGGAACAGATGCCACAAAAGTCACACATGCAAAAACTATCTTGCAAGCCTCGGTACAAAAGCCAAATCTTTTTCTCGCTTGGTTTGGCAACATCAGATGCAAACACAGGACCTTTTTTTCGGTACCTCTGAGAAGCGGTTCAATTCCCCCAACTCATCCAAAGAACCAAGAAGGTTCAAGAATTGAGGTGCCTGCAGCTCCCGAGCTCTGCAAAGGCGCGTTTAGAAAGAAAGAGTCTGCGACCAGCTCCGCTCAGACCTTTCGTCAATTTGTGGGAGTTTCCAATGGGGATTACAGGGGCCCACATGAAGTAAGGCCACTTGGGACCTTCCACAACTATGGATGGGCGAATGTGGATAGGCGCTAATTAAGAGAACCTCACCATGTTGGGAGTTGGGTGTTGGCATTTGCACAGGGGAGGCTCAGAAGATCCAGCTAGGTGCAAGACAGCAGCGCCAGTGCCCTTGACATCCCTCAGGGCCTTGCCGTGGTTTCAATTGGGCCGGGCTGGTTGCAACTGACAGGACATCGGAATTTGGGGGAGCAACAGGGAACACTTACAAGGGGGAACTCTCTTTTTGGAGGGTAATGGAATAGCAGGAAACCCAGCTGAATTGCCAAGCGCCTTATTCCATTTAATACGACAAAGACTTTCTCCTTTGATCACATGGCGCTCGTCAGGTACAACATCCTGGCCGCTCTGGGCATTGAAAAGCAAAAGCGGAGCCATCCACCAGGAGGACGAATGATAGTTGATGCTGTCACCCGTCACCCAGGTCTAGCGCTCCAAACGTCTGTTTGATGAGACCCCAAATCATGCTTGACCCAAGCGCATCGGATGTGCAAGATTTCTGGGAAGGGCAGAACGTAAATCTGGCAGGAGACGAGCATGAAATAGAGCCAGCATCAAAGCGGCGAAAGGAAGAAGAGCCACTTGACCGACAAATCAGAGGTGTGAGCAACGTTTGGGTTGAAGACGACCAACAATTAATGCACACGTTATTTTTTTGGAACGATCAGTTTGCCAAAGCTAGCGGTTTCAGTTTATTGTGAGATATTTGCAGCTGACCCAGTTGGCTCCGGCAACATTTCAGCCTGTCATTCATACATGAGAATGCGCTTCAGCCGCAAACTCGAAATGCAGTTCACGCAAACATGCTCCGGGTTGCGAATGCATGTAGCGCCTCGGAGGGTCACCGTTTGCCATGTCTGAGGAAGGGGGCCATGCAGCTGTTCCAGCAGGCACAAGAGAGAGCGAGAGAGAGACAGAGACAGAGCGAGAGACAGATCTCTCTCCCGTTGCTGAGCTTGAGCCACTTCTTGGGTTTGGACCGCGTGGGTACATGAAAAATGTGGATACTTGTTTTGGCCAGTACCCTCAGGAGGTGAGAGAGGCCTAGTTTCAAGGTTGGGACAAGCACTCCCCACATGGTTGCGTTGCCGTGATTTCTTTTCAACCACTCACAGTGGGAGAGGGGTCCCAATTTTAGAAAGCGTTTGATTTGGCAGAACGCTTAGTATTTGTTTCTGACTGAGCGATCACGGTTGCTAGCTCCCATTTCTGGCAGACAGTTCTGCGTTTTTGTTGGCAGATTGTGATTTGCAGACCAAAACCCTACAGACCGGGTCCAAGTACCTGAGGATTTAGAAAGATTGCGCTCGGACAACGCATGGAAAGTTCTCCCAAAATACTGGACCGCTTGGAGGAAGGGAAGAGGACTTGTCATTTTGGGAAATGGAATGTTTCCTTTCAGAAGCCCTGCCTTTGCCTCGAGTTGCCCCTCTCATCGACTCCCAGCTCTGCAGGGTCCGGTATATGCGGGCGTCTGGCCAAATGGAGGATCCCCTTTAGATCTTTAAACGTGCCTTGTGAAGGGAAGCCGAAAGGAAACCAAGTAGCTTTATGGGCCAGCATTGTTGGAACCACCCATGCTAATGTGTTGTTGCAGTCCCACTGATGTATCACCCTGGATACTGGCCATCATAGACTGGTCTCAAGACTTCCAGCAAAGATGTTCTTAAAAGTTTCTTTAGATTCATTTCAAGTGGCCCAATCTTGGAAAAGATCCTAAGGCGACAGCCAAGCACCAACAACTCGAACGAAGATGGGTGTTTTTTGTTCCACCAAACAGGCAGCTCCAAGTTTTTTTCGCCGGTGCCGGTCGGCCGTCAGCTTGCGTCTCGGATGTGGAAGCCGAGAAGGAACTCTGTGGTGGAGGCCGGGAATCGAATGCATCGATTTTGGGGCGTTCCTTTTGGCCGAGGGAAGGATGGTCAGGGGGGTTATTCTTTGTCGGGTCCCCCTTTTGGGTTGGTTTTGAAGGGAAACTTAAAGGAACTCGAGCACTTATGTTTACTGTTTGTTTGTTTGTTTGTTTGTTTGTTTGTTTTTTGTGTGTGTGTGTGGCGGGGGTCCACTCATTGTGAGACAGACTCAAATCACAAGGGTGGATGGATCTGCTTGTTGTTTGATGGATGCATGGATGGATGGATGGATGGATGTATGGAAGGATGGAAGAATGGAAGGAAGGGTGGATGGGTGAAGGGATCGATGGGTGGATGCATGCATGGATGCATGGATGGATGCGACGCATCGTGTTCCCTCTTCATCTTTGAGCAGAAAGTCAATCAACGGTGTTCTTTAGTTTTCCTCAAGGGCCCGAATTTCCTCACTGCCTTTGGGGCCATAAAAATGGCTGCCCAAGCCAGGAAAATCAACAGGTTACAAGGTCAATTTGCTTTGGACGAGTGAGTTGTAGCCGAGCTCATTCAAGCCATTTGCCAAGCAAACACAGTGTTGATCGATCCAATCAGCGATTGCCTTTTACGTCTGGGTTCCTAAGCCTCCACGGAGAAAACCCCTTCCCTCAAAGAAAGAAACACCGTAGGGTTGCTCAATTCGTCTCGCCGACCGCTCAACACCTCTGTTGGAAGGCCCACAACGGTGTGTGTGTGTGTGTGTGGGTGCGCGTGCGCGTGCGCGTGCGTGCGCGTGCGCGTGCGCGTGTGCGTGTGCGTGTGCGTGTGGGTGTGGGTGTGTGTGTGTGTGTGCGCGTGCGCGTGCGCGTGCGTGCGCGTGTGCGCGTGTGCGTGTGCGTGTGTGTGTGTGTGTGTGTGTGTGTGTGTGTGTGTGTGTGTGTGTGTGTGTGTGTGTGTGTGTGTGTGTGTGTGTGTGTGTGTGTGTGTGTGTGTGTGTGTGTGTGTGTGTGTGTGTGTGTGTGTGTGTGTGTGTGTGTGTGTGTGTGTGTGTGTGTGTGTGTGTGTGTGTGTGTGTGTGTGTGTGTGTGTGTGTGTGTGTGTGTGTGTGTGTGTGTGTGTGTGTGTGTGTGTGTGTGTTTTTGGAGATTGCCTGCAAACCAAAGGGACACCCATCCATTTTTTGTTTAGGGGGGTCCCCTTTAGAGACAGACCCATTTGTTTGGTTCTGGAGCATATATTGCGTGATCTATTTGAGGTCCTTGGATCGACCATGTGCCAGCTTTCGAAGAGGTAGAGGTAGACCATGCTGCCCGCCTTGGCAGAGGAATCGGTTGTTTCTATCAATCACTAGTCTTTGCATGTCTCAAGTTGGCGTAGGATGACTGCCCTACAATCCCAGATCAGTTGACTGTCAAAATTGTGCTTTTCTGAACGAAGTGGGCTCAGTGTTGGCAAATGGCTGCACTCTCAATTCCTAATCCTGCAAGCTGTCGCATTAAACCCCACTGATTTCAGTCGGTCTCCTATGACTTCCCACTCCATGAGCCATGCATACAACGCGGTTTCCTTGAACAGCAGCCAATTCAACCATAGATGATGCCTATGGGCCTCCCTTCAAAGTGGACGTCCAGAAATGGGGCCTTTCCGGCGGTTCGGCTGCAGGGCATCGTGGAGGAGCGTTCCCAAGGGAGGCTGCAGGCTGATATCCGAGAAGGAAATTCAGTGGGTCTTTGCAAACCAAGTTTTCTGCTGTTGGTTCGCCGCTTTGAAGCAGCAGGAGGCGTCACGGTCTCGGTTCCATATATTTTCCAGCCACTGGGCGGCTGAGGGAACAAGCCTGGGGCGCTGCAGGTTTTTGGAATGATTCACTTTGCGGAGGTTTTGAAGGTCTCCGTTATTTACGGAATGCCGGTGCACTTCGGGAGCAACGGTTGCCTTGGTGACATGTCACAGTTTGGGGGTCACGGGTCGGACGTTTAGGAGTATAGAGAAAGTTAGGGGAACAGGAGGATCGCAACATGAGATCAAAAGGAATAGTGTACTCACATGAGAAGTACAAAGATGTCCAGGCCTCCCGTACAGAGCATTGGATTTTGCGAACGTGAGCGATTCTGCCACGACCAAGACGGCCACCTTGCCTGCCAGGTGGGGGCGGAGCCTTCATCCTTTGAGGCAGGGCCCTTCAGATTTGATAAAAATCTTTGAGGGAAGTGTGCCCTCCTCATCCTTACGACAGCAGACACACACACACACACACACATGCACATGCGCCGTATCCCAGGCTTGCCTCTTTTTGAGAGACGCAATCAGCATCCGTTTCATTTGTTCTGAAAATCCATGTCAGCGCCTCCTGTGAGCCAGGCACCAGAAAGCAATACAGCAAAGGGAAGCCCATTTTGGGCAAAGCCCATTTTCCGCAAAGCCCTGAGACCAGCAATGTGCTGTTTATTTTAATCTGGGTCCATTGATTTCGATGAAGTGTGATGGTGCCGCACAAGTTGCGAAGGAGTTGCTGCCCCACTCGCAGCATCTTTGGCCCATAAAAAGAAACAGAACAAAGAGCTTCTGCAAAGCAAAGTGACCTCTTGATTTAGGGTAGAAAGAATCCTCTGTGGGCCTTGCCTTGAGGTGGTTGCCAAAGGATGACTCAACAAGTCTGTTGTCCAGAGGTTGGAAAAGATTGGTTCCCGCCTCCCAAAAGGGGGGGGGGGGCAGGTTACCCAAATTCAGTATCTGCAGTATCTGGGTGTTGACAAACACCCATATCTTTTCTGTCTTTTTCAATAAGCCGATGTGTTTCACTGCTTTTGGTAGCAAACCTGGAGCCCTGTGCAGACGGTAGCGCCATACCTCCAGCCCCAAGCCTTACCTGGACCGCCTTCGTCTTCAGGGAACCCGTTTTGGGGGTTGATTTCAGCAAAGCAGGTGGTTTTGGAGTGTATCCTGCAAGGCACCCCGCGAAAGGGAACACATTTCAACATTTCGGTTTTTCTCAAAGGGGCCAATCCGTATGAGCCTAAGTGGCACCTCGGACCTTTTTTTGCCGCAAGGTCCGGCTGAAGACCTCCTCCGGTAAGGCAGGACTTGGGTGTGGTTCCAAAGGGCAACAAGCCCTTTGGGTATATTCCTGTTCTCTGCAAGCTTCATGAGTGTCTCGAATGAGCCACAATCAAAACCCGGTAGATCAATGTGAGCAAGGGATACTCCCAACCATGAATGGGCCCAGCTTTTGATTCCTCACATTGTTCTGGGTAGGCCATTTTAATACTATAGTACCGATCGGTTTTGACTCAACTGGCGGACCCTTTGGCAGACCGGACAGGTGAAGGTTTGCTTCGACGGCCCCGCGGCCCGGGCGTTCCACCGAAGCCCGGACCCCGGGCCCCGCTCGCCCCGCTCGCCTGGTGACCCAGTGGCTGGAAATGCCGGGAAATACGGCGTCATCTTTTTTTTGCCTTTTTTGTGGACCCAAAATGTTGCATTGCCTTCAAAACAAAGCCAAAGGGAAGCCACTCATGTTGCGACGAAGTCTTCCATTGGCCTTGAGCAAATTGCCACCGGCTCCAAACTACGAGTTGTGCTGTTGGGTATCCACGAGCGTTCGCGAAGGTGGTTGGCACCCAACATGACATAGAGGTCGTTGGCCCAAGCCAATTTCTGGTTGATGTCGATTGATCACTGAATCGGTCTGTTCCAAAACTATGTTATAGTTTAGGGTAGACTTAGGGTAGACTGAATATGAAGCATATTCTGACGTTGGCCAAGACTGATTTGGTGTCATCACAAGCAGTACAAAGCTCTATGAGGAATACATATGCATCGCAGGCAGCTCATCTTGGTTCGTACCCGCCGCATTGTGCTGTGATTTTCATGAGGCTCAGGCCAACGGATCGTTGAGCCCATTTCGGGCTTCAAGTCCCTAACATGCTGTCCTGAGAAGTGGTCGATATTCACCGCTCAAGGCATGGCATTGACACCGAATTGCAGCCTGGAAGTTGTTACTCAACACAGCTGGATGTCATTGGAACAGTGAATGTGGGCGTGTCTTTTTGACTGTACCCTTTGTGGGTTGCTTTCCAAGGGCAACTCCATGCAAACCACTTAGTTCGTCATTTGTGGGCTCCCCTAGATCAAAGAAGGTTGGGACAATCTTAACCGTTAATGGGCACGGGCGTCTTTTCATGGGTAGACGGTAGACCATGTTAGTTCCAGGTTTTGATGTCAATGGACCGCGGTTCACGGCACCAAGGCCTGGGCTTGCAGCGAGGCGGCCGGATTCGAATCCAGGGCTACAACTCCCAAGTGCGGGATGGTGTCGAGGAGCGAATCGCATGCACCTCTCGTGAGCAAGGGAGAAAAAAAAGCCAAGGAAATCCCAATCACGAACTGCACTGATCAAATGCTGGGCAAAGCGAGTCAATCACGGGTTGATGGTGACTCAATTGTTGGTTAAGGTTTAAAAAAGAGAAGCTGGCATCGAAGCCGAGCTATGTCTCTCATCAACCCTGCCTCAGCGTCCTTCTGTTGGTGGAAGGAACGATGCACAGGAGCTTATTCACATTGCATGACAAATATCATATTATGTTGCTACTGCAACTGGTTTTTGATGGCTCAAGTTGTCGTTTGAGTTTCTATTGCGATTCGGCTTTGGTGGTACCCCAGCGATTCGCTTGCAGCTCGACATGCCAAATGGTCCGTGGCGTAATGCTGCGCAGGCTGCAGGGATGAGTCGTGCAGTTCTAGCGCGCTCAGGATGATAGAGGGGCAGATCGACAGAGATGCTTCAAAACTCCAAAGATCCTAGGGCATAATTTTCCTTGGCAGCCGACTTGCAGCAACATCGGCGGCTGAGCCTCAAGCCGGAGTTGGACCAGACGTTGGACAAGAAGCATCAGCAAACTGGCCATAACACCAAGGTACCGTTAGATTCGTTAAAGCCACGGTCAACGTTTTCTATGCTGAGTCTAAATCCGGTGCACTCGACAGCTCAGAGCTTGAGTGTTGTTGAATCCTTTTATCGTGGAGTGACAGGTAGTCATGAGTCATGACCGCAGTCAGCCGCAGTCGCGTCCTGTCGCAAAGAGCAGGGCGCTGAGACTGCTTCAGGCGGCACAGAGCTAGAGCTCCCCCAGAGCTTGGCCCCTTAGCCCATGCACAAATCGGGATGTGGGGATGCGTCAGAGCAAGGGGCCAATTAGTACGCGTCGCGTTGGTTTCCTTATTCAAAGCAGCCCTCGATGTCGACATGCAAATGAATTGAAGCGCCCGGGAACAACACAGATCAGGAGATGGAATCTACAACCTGCCAGCATGTTTGACAAGCCTTCCATGGTCTTTCAGAGAATCCGCTACAGGAGTTTCTACAAGAGCTTTGGCAAAACACGCAAATTGATTGTGAGCCCTTCTTCCTATTTATAAACTGACACCAATAGTAAAACCCCCTCCAGCCGACCCTAATTCTACTAAATTGGCCAAGACTAAACCAGTACTAATAGCTTCCCTTCATAAGGTCTTACGCAGACATTGTATTCTGAGCGCTTTTCCCTTTCAACCCAAAGGAAGTTTGGTTATTAAGGATTATTAAGGTCTCCATTAGGTTCCCTCCGTTGTTTGGAAAACTCTTTTGCAAATCGAAAGAGCTCATTGACTTTCAAAGTTCTTACTTAAAAGTTGCATTCTGAGCACCTTTTTTACAAATCAATTTGGCCCCTCTTTTACAATTGGAGCCCAATACCAAACAACCCAATCTGAAACAGCTCTGGCCAAAAACCGGGGAACCCTAATAATAAAAGCCCTCCGAGCTGTTTTTTAGTGGGGGGGGAGGGGAAAATAGTGGGGGATAGTTTACTAAAAGGGGGACCGGATTGGTTGGCCAATCTGACGGATGTTCCTGCAACTCGAATCGAATATCAAGTGGACGCATGGTTCGTTCCCTGATTGAGCTTTTCCAGTCACTTGTTTGTTTTTGAAAAGGAGTGGACCCCCTTTAAAAGGAAAAGCAAAAAGGAAACCACCTATGTTCGTTAGAAGTTCGGGGTACGCCTATTTTGATTGAGAAAGACCCACATATCAGCTGCCGCCATGCGGCTGATGGAGCTGGGAGTTGTAGGGCTTTACCCAACGGTTTCCGTTTGTTTCGCTTCTCATCCAAGCAGGCCCTGTGCGCCCTTGCGCCAGCAGATTCTGAACAGTCAGCAATGGGTTTGTGGTGGCTCTCTTCTCATGGCTCCGGGTGTTTTGATCAAATGTGGGCCCCAAATGCGTGGGACGATTAATGGACTTTCCCTGACACTCAGGAAGAGCGACCCGTCAGAAAACAAGGCACTTAAGCATAAGCAAGCAACAGCACGGAAACGCAACCA